CAGGAGTGCCTCTGAGGACGAAAGGCGCACCGAGATTGTAATTCCTTCCAAGGGGGTGAATGGTCCCTCCAAGGGAAAAGGGCCCAACAAAATTGGTGGAAGTTCCTCCAAAGTGGGAAGGCCCACCAAGAGGAAGGGACGTGCCTCTGAAGACGAAAGGCCTACTAAGACTAGAAGAGTTTCTTCCAGAACTGTGAATGGTACCTCCAAGGGAGAAGGGTCCACCACAAGAAATGACACTTCCTCCGAGGAGGGAAGTCCCAGTAGGATGAACAGGGATGCCTCTGAGAACGACAGGCACACTGAACCTAGGAGAATTCCTTCTATGGATGAGTCCTGCGGTTCCTCTTGGTGGTCCGATTTCTTCGGATGGAATGCTTTCTGCCCATATCCGAAAGACGTCTGTCCCTTTTCGACGCTTTTCTACCCTTCATCGAGGTTGTTTAATTTCTCTTGGCTGGGGTGCCCCTGCTGCAGGACCTCGAATGAAGAGACGACGAATCATCCCATGGATGAAGGGACATGAAGAGCAGCGGGGGCGGCAACATTGACGAAATGGTCGCCCGGTCTACAGTACCTGTAATTGTGCCGACGAAGTGTGGCAACAATTAAGCCGATCGCCCAGCAGCAGCAGGGCAGAGCTTGAGTGACCGGCAGCAGTCAGAAACATCCTCTCGTCGAAGATGAGGTCCCATTTTAGAAGATGCAAAAGTCTTGGAAATATCAGAATTATGATCATGGTTCTCGAAGGGCCCGAACGCAGGATTGGCTGTGCTGGCGAGGACCAGTAGCAAACTGAAGGTCTCACGACCATGCCAGAATCCTGAAGCTGAGCTGCGATCCGATCTACGCACAATATAACACAAATAAGTAGATATTTGTGTAACACAACAATATATCCATGACGTGTATGTATTGACCGTCTTCTAGTGCACACAATCTCACATGTCACTTCACTACATGTTTCGGCATCACTGTGCCATCCTCAGGTGTGTTATTTACGTTAAACTATTGCACTACTCGCCATCATGTGTCGTTTATAAAATGATTTAAAGTGTATATTCGTTATGTACTATAATAAAATTTATATATTAAAATTTATCATCTTATACATCGTATTTCAAACTCACGTATTATATCATTCTTCCGCTATGGAAGTTGTTCTTCCTATATTTTGTGTATACCTGCAACGTGAAAATGGTACTTATTAATATTACGTTTTGACTTTATCTGTTATGCGTTATTTTATAATGTTTAGTACTCACTGTGTCTTGTGATGTGTCCTTTTGTGGCTGCCTGCGTCGTAATGCTGGATGTGTGCGTGTCTTCGTACTGATTGGGTACTGATGTCGGAGTGTGCCGTGTGATAAACTCGGCTTGCACTTTCGAAGGCTTTGTGGAGTTGCGGTGTCCAGGTGATGAGGTGGGAGCAACATCGAGAAACGGTGCCTGGGTGGCCGCCGCGTAGGACAGAAATCGTCTGTAGAAATTCCGCATGCCCAGTAAACGGAGGACCTGAGTGGCGGCCTTGGGAGGGTGGCAGTCTTACGGGTGCCTTACTCGCTCTTCTGGAGGCCAGGAACCCTCGACAGACACCTTATAACCGAGGAAGGTGACTCGGGTGCTTGGAAGACGCACTTCGCAGTGTTGATGAGGATCCCATACCCGTGAAGTCGGTCGAAGAGAGCACGTAGATGTTGCTCATGCTCCTCGAGAGACCGGAAGGAAACGAGGATGTCGTCCACGAAGTGTTAGCGTCTGGGAGGCGTTGCGCAGGCCGAAGGACATGAAGGAGAACTCGAATATGCCGAATGGAGTGGCAATGGCGGTTTTCTGTATATCGTCGGGATAGATGGGATTTTATTGATTGTATGCTCTCATCAGGTCGATTTGTGCCGTTCAGCAAACATGGCGTCGAACTCTGCTTTGGCGATAGCGAGTTGGTCCTGTGCCAGTCGCCGTGATCGGCAGGTGACCGGTGGGCCTGGTATAGTCCGGATGTGATGTAAGCTAAGAGGCACATTCTTGCAAGTTTTCATTGCGAACGCTCCAAAAATGAACTGTTCTTCCATGGACAGTCATGACACCATTCCTAATTATTGTACATTTAGATCTAAATCTTGCACACCTCTGCTCTTTGAAGTCAGCACCGATGTAACACACGCTGCGGTGTGCAAAATTCGGCTCCCTTCAAGCATTTCGTTTATAGCGTAGAAATTTCTTTCTTGATCATTTTAAAGCAACACCTTCCTTCGGTCCACTAAGAATCCAACAATCGCTTCACTTTATGAACACTGTGGAGAGAGAATCCTGCCAGAATTCCGAAATTCTGGAAATAATTTCAAAACGAACACGAAGTTCTGGAAAGAATAATCGCCTACTTTCCACGATGCGACACGCACCGCATAGAGAAAGACTCATCCAACAATTCTTAGGTTGTTGCGTGTGTATTCGTTGCCGCGATAAAGCACTTACATAGCCGTTACCTAGCAATCACAGGAGGATACTTAAGAACCCGTTGTCTAGCAACACTTCGTAAACTCTGCGATGCATTTTTCCGTGTACTATTGTAGAGTTATATCCCCTTCTATAAGTCACATATGGTGCGGTTTTTTCATTGTGGAAGAATAATTCTTGCAAATTATTGTGTAGCCCTTATTCCTCCTGCAAATAATTTCACAACGTACCTCAGAGACTCGAATCACCTCATGTTTAGTTGCTGTAAATTAACCCACAAAATATGAAACAAGGCTGTCAGGTGGTCACGTTACTTAACAATTTAATTTCTCAGTTTTCACAATCAAGACATTGTGGCAAAATTTATTTATTAAACTTTTAATACTGGCAGAACTGACAGTGTTCGTAACGCTGGTTCATAATATTGGAAGCATGAAAATTTAGAATGTATAAAATGTGTGTAAATAATATGTCAGACAGAAACACATACACACAGACAGACAGACAGACAGATGACCGTGTTGATGATAGAAGACAACAAAATGTTCTATGAAGAACCAATCGGTTTTGAGTAAATTGCTATTGGAATTTGCCAGCACAGTTGCTCTTGGTTGGGTTGCGCGGGACCCATGACCACATTTTACTGTCTCGCCAATCTGGGTAGAAGAACTAATGACCAACTTTCCTTTCACTGCATATATTGAATATTTCATATAACATGGAAAGCATAAAAAATGCGGTGTTCAACAGTTCAACAGTACTGAGCCGTTGCCTAGCAACGTAGAGGGGGAAACATAGAAAGCAAGTTGATCTCATAAGCCTCCTTTTCAGCCTACTTTCCTTTTTTCAGAACTAGAAGACTCAAAAGATCACCTTTCATTTTTTCAATCTAAGGAACATAGGCTAAAAACGAAAATCAGATAGACACATAGCACACTATGTAGCCAACGACTGAAACTGTACAGGGATACATTTTAAATTTTCTTTAGTGAAAACTAACAAATAAACGACGATTCGAAAGAATTTTGAAGTAAGCAGTTGTGGCCTGATCAATGTATTATTCCAGATTTTTCCTGAGGAAAACCACGGAAACCCTCTCAAGATAGCCCATGTGCTGACGTAGATTCAAACCGGGCGTCTTTCGACTATGAGAAAGTTACCGTTGCGTAAACATATTCTGTAAAAGGTAAAGTCATTTCTGAGCTTAACTAAGCACTACGCCATGAAGGCGTATGGGGGAGTGGGCGTATACACACTCGTTTTCTTGACCTCGGCAGTAGTTGGGAGATGAGCGGTCAGCTTCACGTCCCGGCCGCTTTACCCCCCGGGGAAAGAGGCCCCGGGAACCATTGAATAGGAGGTTGAGTGGACCCCAGAGCCGGTCTGGACAAGATTGTGAAGTGAAAATTCTTGACCGCACCGGACTCGAAATCTGACCCCTCAGTCGCCCAGCCTGTAGCCATTTTCTATACCGACTGCGCTATCCCGGCTCTAAACCTACTCTGTAAATTGTTGAAAAGAATCCCTGAGACAGCTCAGTCGGTACAGTGACGGGCTGGAGAACCGGGGTTCAATTCCTGGTAGGGGCAAAACTCTCCCCTGCAATGCCTTTGTTCCGAGCGGTACCGTTATTTTCGCTAGTTGCGAACTTAGGAATGTTAAACGTTGCCAAATTTCGGAATAATTTCTACTCCTGAAATAATATCCCAAGAAAATTATTTTTTCTATAATTTCTGTCTGAAAATTGTGCTGTGGCTTATACATGCACGCGGCCTATACATGCATAAATACGGTATTTCTCAGCATAATCTCCCTATACATTGAGGCACTTGTCCCATCGTTTCACAAGCTCCTGAAAACCAGCAGCTTAAAATTCTTTGGGCTGCTGTTGGAACCAGGCGGTGACTTCCCTTTACAGGGAACATTTACATCATGAGGATGTTACAGTATGAATTGGCACTTAAGTAATTGACAACTCCTACTGTAACATCCTCAGGAAACTTCATAAGGTAATTCAACGGAAGTGACCAGGACTCCTTACCAAAGGCATGTTGCTCTTGCATGACAATGCACGTCCCCATACAGCCAACAAGACAAATGAGACGCTGCAAAATGTCAAGTGGGAAGTCCTGATGCATCCTCTGTATAGCCCCAACCTTGCTCCAAATGACATCCATTTGTTCGGCCCTCTTAAACATCATCTTTCTTCTGAACATTTTCCCAACAATGAAGCTGTAGAAAGGGAAGTCACCGCCTGGCTCTGACAGCAGCCCAAAGAACTTTATGCTGCTGGTTTTCAAGGGCTTGTGAAACGATTATGTTGAGAAATAAAAGCATTTTTCAAATCAGTACTCTTATTTGTTTAAGTTCGATATCCATTTGTAACTTACTTATTGACTTACCCTCATACATAGGTTATGGTATTTTGACATACAACATTTACCCACATAGTTGTGTAATCATAAGACAGTGTTACAATTCTGATAAATGATATAACAAAGAGATTCAAAACACAGTACGTATTACACTAAACATGAGATCATTCAAGCAATGCTGCTGGATCCCAGAAGATGCCGCCGCCGCCTCCACGCCACAAATAGACAGGAGCAATATAAGATGAAGTTCACCAGAAAGATGAAGCTCATGTAGGCCATGTGACGCAGGAATACTGAAACATGGTACACATATCAGGTTACCATCAAATTTATATACCTAAAATGGTGACTGCTGTTTAGTTCGACCTTTTCTGAAGCAACAACAGAATATTTGGTATATCAAACTATCATTTAAGGTTTCACTGCAGAGCAGTGAATTTCAACCTGAAATGCACTGAGATTACTGCTTTCAGAGCACTGAAATATAAAACTAAATAAAGGAAAACCTTAAATCACGGAACATTAAATGGGGGTTCCGCTGTATTTGAAAATAAAGTGTTAATAGATACGTTCAAATCTAAGGGATAAATTTGACTCTGTGCTCAAGCATCACAGCATGAAGCCATATTCTTAAGCTTAGCCTTAGATGAAGGTGAGCTATCAGCTTGATGGCCTGACCTCTTTCACCCCAGGGGTTAGAGGCACCAGCACATACAGTATAGAAGGCTGGATGAGTCCCAGATCCAAACTGAGGAGGAATGGAGGAAACTGAGTAACAGTTTGTACTCTAATACTGGCATCAGAATAAGCTGCAGTATTCTAGGCATAATGGGAACTACTTAGAAATGTACACAAAGTTGACCACATGGAGGTTATACATGCATTTTTTGTGTTGGTGGACAATAAACATTAAACTAGTTGTCTAGTTGTGGGTAATGTAATGGTAATCATTCAAGAATATGGAATTCTAAATCTCAAGATACTATAAAGTTAAAGTATTTTAACATGGAGGGTGACAGTTCATTGGGAGACACAATTTAAAGGATCTGGAGGGCTACTGGCCACATTTCAACTCATATGGCAATGGTATTAATATTAAAAAAAGGTTTACTAACAGCCAACTGCACCATGAGTATGCACTGTTGCAATAGTACAACACACTTACCCTCCATGCGTGAATTTGGTGCTGGCGCGATGTATACAATGGTCTCCTGCATGCGCGTGTTGCCCACAAAGCATGTGTAATTACCCTCACTGACTTGTGTCACATCCGCCAAGTGTAGGATGCTGAACATGTCCACTATGATATGTTGTGTTGCATTAGACATGATCACAATATTATCTTTGCGCCATGTCACCACATCCTTCAGAGTTGCCCTACAGACACAACACATGGTCATCATGATATACAGTCACCAAACATAAAAAAACTGTTATTATTTGTTTATTAGCAGCAGAGTGGGGTTTTACTCACTCAGGACAGATAAGGGTGAGACGTGCACCTGGCATCAGCACATGTCGTTGCTTGTAATATGGTTCCTTGCCTTTACGTTTCCTCTGGTTTCTGACATCTGAAAACACGAAATCTATAAAGTTCTCTGGTTTTGACTTGTCAGTCTCACTTCCAATTAACAATGAGAAACTTACCAACCCTGCAGTCTCCCACACATGGTTCAGTGAGTATGAACTCTGGCACTGTGCGAGTAGCTATACTGACTTTGGGAAACAGATCTGCCAACAGCTTTGAGTGGCATGACAGTTCAGTCACTTTCTTCATTACATGTTGCTTGCGAGCCTCAGGGTCAAAGCTACGTATGATATTCTGAAACAATGAAAAAGTAGAATTCCATCAAGTGCAACTACTTAAATGTTTCCTGCCTTACTTGGCTTGCCCACTAGTGACCACTGTCAGTAGATAGAGCAGAATTATCAAGGAAATAATGTACATAATGTATCATCACAGTGTCAGTTAAGGGACTGTGAATATAAAAATACTATTCATTAAGAAGGCCGTGTTGAGTTGATATGAAGCAGTCCAGCACTGCATGCTCAGCCATTACTACATACTCTGCTGGAATACAAGCAACATTAACATAGATAGATCCATAGACTGCAACTACTAGAATAAAAAAATCCTATGGTGTGAACCATAGAACCCATTACAAATGCTGTCACTACAACCTCCTCTTATCAACTAAACATGTTCTTTTAATTTATCTTAATTGCTTTTGTTTCAGGTACTTAATTTTATTATTCACATATACAACTAGTCCTTTCAATGATATTGCAATTACACCTTATGCAGGTAATCCTTCATGATGTTGGTTTCCCTACTGACAATAGTCAGTAGCAGCCAAAATATATAAGACAGAAAAGATATTTCATATTTAATAATGTAAGCAGTTACACTTGACAGAATATTTTCATATTGTGACATGACACCTAGAAATGCAGAATCTTGGAGTCACATAAGTATCTGTTGCTGTGTAACGGCTTGTTGAAACATTTCCACAGCAATGAATATATGCATAACAGTCAGAAGCATTGTTTTCTAATCTGTCCACAGCTTGCCAATATAAAGCAACCAGAGCTAGAACAGCAAGAGTGATATAATTAATTATGCAATTATAGTGCTATTTGCATGCTGTGTAATTAACAGTAAATGAGAGTAACCAGTATCCAACAAATTCATCGTGTCTAGTCATTATCATGTGATGGTATAATAATGGAGTAATAGAGTGTGACAGCCAAAATACCCTCAATAAAGATCTGCAAATTTGTTTGTGGAAAATGATTTAGTGTTCTTTTTGATCTCTGCTCATTAACAAGGCGCAAAAATTTATTTCTGATGTAATACAACATTGTGTTGCTTACATGCCACATCTGGAACTTATGATTTATCTTGTTAGCCAAGTATCTGTGTCTGGCATGACTGCTGAAAAGGTGGATATAAAATGCTACACCACCAACCAACAGGTCAGTTGACACATTAAGTGAAACCCTGTGGGACATAATATCACAACATTTGAAATGACTACTGTCAGTATCACATTTTAAGCAGAGGGGAGTAACTTGTGGCATGAGAGTGCTGCCAAATTAACTAATATAGTGTGAGTGACACCTGGATAATTTATGTTGTGACAGTAGTGCTAGATTAACTTTCATTGTGAGGGCAGTGCCAAACTCATTTATCAGCTCATGTGAAATTATTTCTTCTAACCTATTCATGTGTGAATTATTTGCTCTGATTATTTCTAAAACGTGGCCATGGATAATATTTACCAATATCTCACAAAGTGTATCTCAAGTGCTTTATGAAATCATTATACCATCCAAATATACAATCTGCTAGTGCAGGAATCTGTTTCAAGGTATATAGGAAGAAGTATAATTTCTAATGTAATGATAGGATTAATTCATAATTTGCATATACACCAATCCATAAGGGCATATAGAACATGTAGAGGTGTATTCCTGAACTTGATGGAGGTGGAGGTCTTCACATTCCAGGTAACTTTGCCGTCACCATGTGGATGGGGGGCTGGACTATGTAGTGATGGCCCAATGAGCATTGTACCTGCTGAATGTGTTGTTTAACCCGACACCTGCCCACACATCTACGCTCTCCCTTGGGCCTGTTGCATGCCACACATGGTCCCCACGTCTCCCACTCTGTGGCAACAGAGAATTGCAATCCATCTTCCACATTCTGGAGGTATGTGTTGAGAGGCATCAGTGATGAGTTATGGTATGAGCGCCAAGCAGATACGTTTCCTACAACTTGGTCCACAGTGCTTTCTATCACTGCAATCACAATTAGAGTCCAGACTGTAGTCATCAGGTCTCATACATTCAGTTACAGGAAGAGGAGTAGTGGGTGCCAGGATATTTGAGCTTACATAACACCCACAGTACCAAGTAAAGCAACTCTGGTTCATAGTTCTCTGTTAGGTGGAGACCAGCAATACTGTAATGAAATGCTTCGAGTGGCAAGCGGAGTCAAGAATACTGACGCAATAGGTTAATCAGCCCCCTTAACCGACATTTCATGGCCTTGGAATCCCATTTAAATGCATGAGACAGTTCCTTGGCCTTTAAGTGTGACCATGGTTCATGTTTGTTATTAATACTCATTGTGTTAAAATAAGGTTAAATTGCGCTGTGCTTGTAGCTCAGATGGGTGAAATAAGAAATGCATTCAGCATTTTAGTGCAGAAACCCTTATGAAAGCCATTTTGAAGACTGGAATGGCTCAGGATTGGACCCAGTGGCAAATTTTTCAGTTACGAGCTAGTTGTGGTAGTCGTACTTTGGTTACATTCTGTGCCTCAATTCAAATTTCTGGTAAATTATGAATTAGCATGAAGTTCCTTTCATTCCTTAAGGAAATCATCCGCTTACTTGCAGCTCACCATATCTCCTACAGTTATTTAATGTCATTAAAACCTGCAGGCAACACCATATCTCTAACACATTGCATAGCCTTAAGACTGCATCTGACATATCATTACAAAACACGTTTCTTGTTATGTATAATGATGCCCATGTCACTAATTTCTGGAGGCATTGCAATCCAAAACAAAAATTAGTAGTAATATGGAGCCGGTGTCAAAATGCGATAAACTGATGCAACTTTAGATTTGTTTTTGTTTTTTTTTTTTTGATCCTTCATTTATCTTGTGTGAAACATCACAATAACATTGAAAGAAGATCATCAGAAAGTAGGGAATCTTAAAGTACCTTCTTGTCCTTGTGTTTGAAATGGTGGCAAAAAGTTTGAATAGAAGTCTTTATGTAGGCTCCTAGTAGTTCCAATTCTCATAATAAATTGCAGTATCCAAAATGTTATGCCAGATTTTAAGAACTTTCAGACAATATGTAGATGATCACAATCTGCCTCTCAGCTATGGGAATGTTTAATTTGCAAAACGTTGTGTAATAAGCATTGACACCATTTTGGATAGGGTCCCCCTCAGAGGTCTTACTGGGGTTCTGAGCTGAAGGAATCTGTAGTTATTTCAGTATGTGTATGCAGACTGTTACCAAAAAATTTCAAGCATTTTTTTAATCATGACAACCATCATGGTATTTCCCTCTTTTTATGATGAATCTACTTTCCATGCTCCAGGCATCTTGCTTCTATAGCAGGGCAATGGGAAACAAACAGATTTCATATGTCACTATAATGGAAATAATCCCAACAAAGATTGTCATGTTCCTCAAAGATATATCAATATATAACGTAGAAAGGTTTATAGGCATTCCTCGTTCTATGCAAGTTCAAAACATGTGCTTTCATTTTAATGCAATCCACTAATTTAGACAAATTTTAATTTATAGCACATGATATAATGTGAATTGTTGTCTGACCAACCGTGAGAGGCGGCGAGAAGGGTGAGTAAATTATTGTATGGGTTTTCAGAGTTGAAATGTGAATGGAAAGGAGAAAATTATATTTGTGTGATTTCATTCTTTGGAACACAAATATCTCATGTAGTGAGAAATATCTGTATCATTATATAGCACCAGCATTACTCCCACATTAGAAGTTCACATAACCCCCATGCTGGCAGGAAGTAACATACAAGGTGGGACTTACCATCCAGAAGAAAGCTGAACTTGAGGCATTGATACACTCCAGTGTCAGCAGATGTAACATTATGCAGTACAAGAGCATGGTCTGGTGTAACACGGACTCGGGGGACAGGTCCCATGTCAAGTTCCACTTCCACTGGAGGTCCCTTAAACAACACATCCTGCCAGTACCACAGCTTCGGTAAAGCATCGTCCATTTCCTGACTATTGGACAAAAATATTAATTTCAAGAAGGGTATTAATACTTATAAGGGATAAAAATTACTAGGATTATGGGATGTGAGGCCATATGGTTTGGTACATAGATTGCTGCATTATGGAGGGAGTGCTGTCCTCTGAAACGTTGGTATATGTGTATCAAAGTACACAGTGTCACATCCCAGTACCCCTTAATCTTAATATTCCAGGCGCAAGAGCCACAAGTCCTGATTCAAATTACATTGTTCAATTGTTATAATTAGAATGTGCAATTGCATCTGTTTTTGTATGGAATTGGATCTTAGACTCTCGTTGTGAGGAAGGAACACAGATGAGGAGCGTTTCAAAATGAAGTGCTCAGAGTAACCTTCATAGAGTGCACCCTGTTGTGTGTTATGCACAAGATATATAAAAGTATACAGGGTGATTCACGAAGTTTTACCCCGGCTTATGGTACATATTCCTGGGGTTATTTCCTGCAAAATTTCCTTATAAACTTGTGGTAGTGTAACCGTTCATTCTGACTGGAGGACTGTTGTGTGTAAATTAAATTTGTATTAAGTTAAGATTACAAACAAAGAGATTCGGCAGATAGCCAGCTCTTACATGCAGAAGGGACATAGTTCAAGTTTTGCTATGTGGACAGGAAGTAACATCTGGTAATTTCCTATAATTCTTGCAGTTTCAGCAAAGTCGGAAAGGCTTTGAGAAAATGAGAGCTGACAGCTTGGGACAGCGATAACTTAGAAGTGGGACGGCCGGAGCCTCACACCCTGACCGTAATGCATCAAGGGGCTGTCAACCTTAGCGTCAGGTCAGCATCTGCCAGAATCACATAGCAGAGCAA